AATTTTATTTATAAAGATTGCAACATTACATGAATTAAAAAATTGCTACGGAATACTAAGTTATTTTACAAATTTATTATAAATCATCCAGAATCCAGCAGTATTATATTAGTTCGTTTTCACTGCTAAAATAATTAATCTTTTACAATCATAATCGATATTCCCAACTTTAATACAAAAATAGTCATAAAACAAACTGTATTTCTGCACCCACTTGGGGGGTATGCATAAATTTAGACCTCACATCATTATAACCAAAATTTCTATACGAAGTGTCAAACGTGACTTGAAACTTCATCCAAAATGTATAAACATAAAAGCACATCCATATGAATAATCTGACAGGGAACACTCACATAATGATATTAATTGTTATTTTTCTACCACATTAATATGTCACTTCTCTTCGAATTATAATATGGACCATTGCAAGTTGCACATAGTACTTCAGGACGACACATCAAAACACACGGCGATAACTCCTTGCTTAGTGGATTTATTGTATAAATTAGTCGTTTTAACCATTCATGTGACGGCTCTATTAATAAACTTGACACTAAATTCAAGCTTAAATCTATAAATATACGCCAATAATAAACAAATGTTATTTATTAATATCGCCAGACAACCAAACACACGCTACTTTCTTCATTTTGGTTACTTTTAGCTTCTTGTTTACATGAACAGATGGCGGCAGGCGAACGCGGATGTGTTTTGCCATAGAAATGTCAAGCGATTCGACAGAAAATACTTTTCATAAAAATTCATAACAAACATTAAAATAGAGTTAGTAAATGATACATTTGACTTGAAACGTATCATCACAAACTATTGTTTTTACTCAATAAATTGTTTGGTATTATCTAATTTGATTTATTATTTTAATAAGGGTAAATATTAAGTTTAGTGCTTTAAAATACATGTCATAATAAATATATCTACATCAGGGTAAATTGAAATCTTAATTGAGATTTAAGATATTTTTAATTCGTTACCCTGCTAAAACTATCAATAATCATAAATATACTATTATAGTCAATAAATAAAAATTAATGTGTGTAAGAAAAAAAAAATGTGAAATTTTTTCGAGAATCGAATTTTATTAAAATTACTATTAATAATAAATAAATAATGAATTATTAAGTTAATAATTCATAATCAATTATTACTAAATAATGAAAGATTTAAAAATAGATTTCTTCTAATGTTGGTAGTGTCAGGGTCATTCATGAGATTTTAAGCTACAGTTCTATTTGTGAAAAAATGCTTTTTCTACAAATTATACTATTACAAGATTTATTCTAATTATCTTGTTAATATCGTATCGTGAACCTATTTTTGATGCATTAATATAACTTAGAATTTATAATTACAAGTATACAATTAATTATTACTATTAATACTTAAAAACTTAATTTTGTATCCGCTTATTTCATTTTATTATATTATTAAGAATTGGCTTGCTATTTAATATTATAAAATAAAAATCAAAAACAAATTTATACTTGTGTTGTGTGGCATCGTGCCCTAAGGCAAGGTACATTAATACTATTTGAAGAATATAATTATGTTTTCAAATAGATTATAATAAATATTGTAACTTTTATTATTCTTATTTTATTAAAAAGTAAATAAACAAACTTAATCAAACGGATTTAAAATGAAAGACAATATATAATATTTCTAAGTATTAAATAAACTGAATTGCAAAGGTAAAATCAAATTTAAAGTATATAAGTGATGTTTTTTAGAACTTTAGCTAGAATTGGAATTAAAATCCGAATTATTTTTCAATATTCAAACATTTTTTTTTTTTGAAAATAAAAGAAAAGAATGATATAAGAAAATTCTTTCCCCAAAAGCAATCGTTCCGTCAACCAAGCAGCAAGTTTTTTAAATCATTCAAATCGGATGCTTAGATCTCTCAAAAACTGCAATTTTTTGTACATTTAGCTGGACTTCCCTTTGCAAAATCTAATAACCATTTCTTTCCATCATTTCGATTCGAACGTTTTTTTAGATCATTCAAATCAGTTGATCCATACATAAACATATTTAGCACTTTTTGCTCCATATTTCAAAGCCGCTGGACTTGTCTTATTTAAAAACTAATCAGCATATCTCTCTATCAATAGAAATTAATTGCTTTTTGAATTTTACAAATCGGTCCATCCGTAAGCCAAAATCGTTGAAAAAAAAAATTGTCTCCACACATACAGACACACACACGCACAAATCCATTTTTTCTCATGCATGCCAAAATTTTCAGAAACCACTGAAACGTGAAGATATGCAAGAATTTTCATTTTTGATTTTTGGTCCATTACTATAACTCACCCTATGGGAAGTTAATAAGTCCTAATTAAAATTATATACTAATTATTTTATTCAAACTATATAAAACTGTAGAATAAATAAAAATCAAATAGACATTAAAAGAATTTAATATTAAGTAGTAATAATAATTATACACATATTATTTATTTATTTATTTATTTATTTTTTTGCATAGATTTCTTACCGATTAAAATAATATAATATACACATATTATTGTAGTTATACTATAGTCATAATATATTGCTTTACCTTATTATTAGCATAACTGTAAAATATTAATCATAAGACTGAGAAGTAAGAATTTGCCAATGGAGACGCAGCTTACGCCATTTCGCTCTTCTGGCAATTGGTATGTAAATGTACGCCATGTGCTAATATCGTAATATATTTCAAATTGACGTTGTTTTTTTTATTTACTATTTGTAATATTCATATGAGTGCTTGTTTATTTATTTATTTTTTTGCATAGATTTCTTACCGATTAAAATATATAATATACACATATTATTGTAGTTATACTATAGTCATAATATATTGCTTTACCTTATTATTAGCATAACTGTAAAATATTAATCATAAGACTGAGAGTAAGAATTTGCCAATGGAGACGCAGCTTACGCCATTTTCGCTCTTCTGGCAATTGGTATGTAAATGTACGCCATGTGCTAATATCGTATATATTTTCAAATTGACGTTGTTGTTTTTTATTTACTATTAGTAATATTCATATGTGTGCTTGTGTAATTTTACAGTATTAATTATATTATTTTGTTTCTTGTTTAATCTTAAGAACAATAATCATGACATTGCTTAACAAAAGAAAACACGAAGAAAATGTAAGGAAGTGAGGTTATGTCTGATAATTGATGTATATAGTTAGAATAATTTTTGGTAGAGAATGATATTTAATAATTTTCCATAATACATTTTTTTGCTAATATTACTTTCTCTTATTTCTTTCTTATTTATTGTATTTTTTTTATTTGTATTTTATATTTTCTTTGAAAGGTAAACTTACTTTTCAATGTATGCTTTTCTTTACATTGGTTTCTTTTACAAATTTTTATTATCCATCTTTAACATATTTCACAATAATTTATATAATATGTTATTATATATTATTTGATATATATATATATATTTGTATGTGTCAATTATATTGTTTTTTTTTTAGTTTATTGACTCAGAAATATATATATATTTCTGGGTATGTGTCAATTATATTGTACTTTTTTTAGTTTATTGACTCAGAAGATGACTCCCAAGGTTCGGAAATCGATTCACAAGATGAAGACAACGGAATTGGAAAATTGTTTTGGCCAAACCAGAATCACTGATGCTCCAAAAGCTAAGAAACCTAAAAATGATTTATACAAACACCCACCGTAGAAAATTAAATCAATTAAGAAACTGAAAATCTTTTTAACTCAAATTTATTTAGATTGCAAATCGAAGAAATGTTAAGCGAGGTTAAATTAAAATCAAAATATGTAAAATTATTCACTACTTGGTATGAAAGATTTGCTAGTGTTATTGGTAGTCTCAAGGATAAAAAAATGAATATGAAATATCAGATCTTATTTGGTTAGAATCTATGAATGTTAAATTTCCAATAAGTGTGGATTCAAGAGAATCAAAAGGCGTATTTAAATTCATAAACCAGCATCTGTGAATATTGTCGGATCTTATAATTTAAATGTGACATTAGGCAGTATAGTTAATAATGACATCAGTGTAGAAATGCCTAAGAAAATGTTTCAAAAGATGATTATCTGAATCAAAGATATCATAAAAAGCGTGCTATGTATCTATGCCATATAGCTAACAAACTGCAAAAATCTAAAATTATTGAAAAGCTTGAATTCTTCCACAAAGGTGATATTTTAAAACCTTTGCTTAAAGTTACACCATTAGGTAATTTAAGCAGCACATTTCAATTATTGTCCATTCGACATGCGAAGAAGATAGTTTTAAATTGAACAGATTTAATCCTAGTAAAAGCAATGTTAGAAAAAATTTGTTACTGGAGATGGATCAGAGGATTCAGAAGCTGGAAAATGAAGCCTTGAGATTAAGTGTTTTTGATAAGAATCAAAATTTAAAAGATGGTTTAATTTTGTTGAATATTTGGCTTAAGCAGAGACAGTTCGATGCAAGTTGCAGAGGTTTTACGGGGTATATAATGTCTATGTATATGGTATATCTAGTGAAACAAAGGAAGGTATATCTAGTGAAACAAAGGAAGGTAAATAATGCAATGAGCAGTACCAAATTATAAGAAATGTTTGGAACAGTTTAGGTATTTTTTCATTTTTGCTGCAAAAGTTGCTGCATGCGTTTATTAAAATTATTTGAAGTAAACACTTACCATTCTTCATTTATTTTAAATTTTGCTAATATTTTTTTTAGCAAAACAGTATGTTGCATGAGCATGGGATATCTCTATATCGGGAGAATTAAAAGAAAATCAGCCTTCACTTCTTGAGTTTGATTCAAATTATGATGTAGTTTTTGTTGATGGAACAGGACATATGAATATATGCTCACAATTGTTACTAGATGTGTACTTGAGGGTGAAATCGGAAAGTGAAAAAGCTGTTAAATTGTTGGATAATGCTAAATAAATGGATTTCAAGCATTATTCATGAATTCTATGCCATTTATAGACAGTGTGATCATATTGTACAGTAAGTAAAATGAGATTGTAATAAAATAAAACTTCTAGGAAATTCGAAAACATCTATACATAACACTAAATTTTGTAAAAATGTTTACATACACTTTAATTTTGGATTTTGACTTTTTATTTGATTTTTTTGCAATCAAATTGCAGATAAATTAGAACTATTAGATGGATTACCAAGAATGTGCAGAGTTTTTCTAGTTTTGTTTTAGAAAATCAAAAAAAGAAATTGTTCATAGAATTGAATAACTTTGAATCAATGACTTTTTGTTGTCTTTCGTTGTCTATTATAATCCCTCATTTATAAAACTTATGGTTTTCATTAGTAAAAACTAAATTCGGTGCATTTTGATATCATTAAAATTTTTATTCAAGGAGTTTTGTTAATTTATTTTAATTTTTTTTAAGTTAGTATTCAAGGAGTTTTTGTTTAAAAAGAATATTGAGAAATGAGAAGCAAATTTGCAAAGTTAGATTAAAATTACAGGTAAATAATGTTTGCTTTTTAATTTCTAATATTCTTTAATTTTTTCTTTTTTTAAGTTTTTTTTTTTATACATAATATTCCAGTTAAGCTTTTTATTATTCCATATTCATCAAAATATTATTTATATAGTTTATTTATGATGATTTATGTTTTCATTAATTTATTAGATTGAAAGTTCAGGAAAAAACTATAGATTATAGCATATATTTAATATGCGATTTTAAAAATATACTGACTAACTTACAATTCACATATATAAAACAGTATTTTTTTATGAATATATTTGTTTGTTTTAATATAGGATAAACAGAAAAGCTCTGAAATCATTAATAAGCAAGCACGCCAGTGAAAAATCTAAATTGGATCTTGTAGATGATTCATATACATTAGGACTTGGTGTTATTATGGACATTCTAAGAAAGGGTCTAGGAAATAGAGTAACCGCTATAATTCCTAAATTAGAAGCACAGCAAATCTGGGATGTCAATGCGGACTGTAAAAAAATAAGAACAATGTTTGTATAGGTTTTATTTTAAATCCTGAAGAGGCCTTAAATGTTTTACATAAGGGACCTGGAGCAAATTTACCAGAAGCTGAAGAGTTCAGGTAAATACATAAATTTATATTTTTACTCAGTTTTCATTGAACCAGTACAAGATGGCCCAGACTCTAACCAAAAGAGCACCAAGGACCACATACCAAAAAATCAGCCAGTCTAAAATTTTTTCTTGAAAACGTTGCTAGCTTCTTACCAATATGTTAATGTTTAATTTTCATAATATAAAATCCAATGTATGTTTTATACAATTATGTCTAGAATCCTTTTTTTTATTCATTGCATTTCAAAGCAATCTGTATTATTTTATTTCTCAAGTTTTGTTTTGGAATGATTGTATTCATACATACAGAAATATGTACAGGAAAATACAACATCAATAAATTTTTATTCATCGATAATAAAAACAACAATAAATTCCAAATTCCTAAATAAATAAAAAATGAAAACTTTAATGAGTTTATTAAAATTATTAGAATTTTTCTCTAAAATATGTATATAAAAGAATTGTTTTCATTTGTAGAAAATTTTGGGGTTCAAAATCAGAATTGAGAAGATTTCAAGATGGTTCAATTTCAGAAGCATGTGTTTGGGGTAAATCAACCGATACCATGTCTGCGAGGAGAAATATCACACGAGATATTGTTTTATATTTATTACAAAATAATTTATGTAAGTTTTTATAATTGATTAATTTTTTATGTCTGTTTTATAAAAGGAATGTTTTAACCACTTTAATATTTGTGAATGCATTGATATGAAATGGAATTAGATTAGTTATGGCAACAGCTTTAAACATAAAAGTTTCTCATATTTAATTTGTTCAAATCAATTAAACAGTTGACATTTTTATCTAAATCGTTAAATCTCATTTCTTTTTGATTACGCTGATTATTTTGATTACACATATCAGGAAGCTCATAAAACTTGTATTAATGCAAAATGCCACTTAACACTAGTTAAATTGTTCATTTGTTAATCATAATTTTAATAGCTCTAGAATTAAACCTTTAATTGTTTAAAACCTTTAAGTTTATTTAATAATTTTTCTGCAGCCATACAAGCAGAGCACATAAAATATATTTCAAATCAAATCGAAAGTATTTTAAAATTGCTCTCTGTGAAACCACAAAGTTTTGAATATGGAACAGGAGAAGAAGCTACAATGAAGGTTATCCAAGCTTTTGATTCTTTGTCAAAAGATTTAAGAAATTTAAAAGATCTGGCGTTAGAAATTACAGCATTGCAAGGAATATCATCTGTTTTTAGATTCACAAATTGCTTTCCAGCATTAGGTGAGTAAAAGTTAATTTTTTTAATTTAGTTATAGTTAATCTTATATATAAAAATGGAGCGCTCTTTCAAATGTCCAAGTAAAACTCGAAAACGGCTGAATCGATTTGGCCAGTCTTAGACTTGAAAAATTCGTGCTAATCAGTAGGTTGTCGGAAAGGTGGGATATTATTTCAAATCTGCGTAAAAACTTTACATTTTTAATTTGAAAATTTTTGTAGAAGCGTAATTTAAATAAAACAATGGACGGTGGCAATTTCGTGAAATGTCAAACGCTTTTGACAGATGATGTTCAATTACGTGAATGTTTTACGCGAATATTATTTAATTATAATAAATTTGTAGTAAGTAGTTTTGTTTGTAGTTTTATTTATATACAAAAACGTTAGTAATCGACCGCAAGTGTTACAAGAGACTCAAAATATAAACTTTTTTGAAATGTTAATATAAAAATGCATTTTTTGGTGTTGTAGCACTTTTTTTTTGCAAATCATATTTTTCTCAAACTCGGTACTCTAAAAGATCTCATTTGTATAATTATGTACTTATTGGTATTTATAAGACATTTTCTAGGTTATATTATTTTCTATTTATGATATACAAATTCAGAACCTAAATTTCGTATTGATAAAATGGACATTTTGTCGAATAACATTTTTCCAGTTATAGTTTCTCAGAATTTATTGAAGAATAGATAGTAATATATGAAGGTTCGGAGTTAAATAGGTCCACCGCCGATGTGTCAAAAAACAGTGAAGTTAAGCATTGTTTAACAACAATATTTGAAAGTAGAGGGAAAAGATGTATAACCAGCTTTAACCTTGATTTGAAAACGGTAATCTTTGAAATGGGTGAGATAAACGGTAATCTTTAAAAATCCATGATAAAAGTATTTTCTTCCGTTGGTAGTTTTTTAGCATTAGTTAAAAATGTACTTATTTTGTAAAATACTGTTAAAATTATAATAAGGCTTTAAACCTTTTTGCCACCTGCCCGTTTCAAGTTACCCAGCCTATAGGGTAAAAAGGTCTATATAACAAGTTTTTGAAAGACGTCAAAAAAGCACATTTCTACAACGATGAAGTAGAAGGCAGTTTACTGGATGTAGTCAGATAATTGTTTGTTTGATATGTGTTATTTGTTGTGATATAAATGGTTTTCACAATATAGTTTATATTTGCTCAAAGTCAAATTGGACCTTTGTGCTTCGCCCTGCTCTACATATATACTTTTTATTAAATTTACTTTAATTCATCGAATATTACTTGAAACTTTTTAAAAAGCAGGTCAAAGAAGAAATACTTAATTTATTTTCTATCTCTCCTCGTAGAAATTTGAAAATGTTGTATAAGTTCAGTAGTATTATTTACAATTATATACAAAATCCAGAATCCAAAAAAAAATCTGAAAAACTTGAAACGTAAACAATAAGTTGAAAGACCAAAAAAGACTTGGATGGATTATACTATGTTTTCTATAGAAAGTGTATAAATCTTCCAGTTTGATTGTATTGACAAAATATAGACAAACTAATAGGGTTTATTGTTTTTATAATACTTCATATATATAGCATTCAAACAACACATCCTTATACACTTAAAGTATTAATATTTTTGATTCTCTAGAAATTCTTTAGAATATACCTTACTTAGCAAAACAATGTTTGCCGGGTCAGCTAGTAGTTTAATATAATTTGTATATATAGTGGTACCCTGACGAGTTTAATTTGATCCATAAGTATGCTCAATTATCGAATATAAATAAATGCTATTAATTTGCTCCAACATTGTGGTTTGAATACTAAAAATAAGCGCACTATTTATTAATTTAGTTATTGTTTTTTACTGTCCATTCATAATTTGTCAAATAACAGTTAAAAATGTTTTATTGTTGCTCAATTTGTTGCAACTTTTTCAGGATGATTTTTATTCACAATATTTTAGAACTTAGAAAGCTGCTTATAAATTATTGTAAGGCCCTTAATTGTAGTCATGTCCTTTATGAACTCCTTTTTATGAACTTTTAACACAGTGCATATCTATAATGTTTTACACTTGTACATCCTTGCCATCCTCATGGTTTTCAATAATTTTATGCTTAAATACGTGACCCTTATGTTTGAACCCATGGTTATAAAAGTACTCTCATAATATTTTGTAAATGTGCAAAAGCAATAAATGTGAATTTCTAGATACCTCTTACTTGCTTAAAGCTCGTATCTCAAATTTTATACATATATATGTCCAAGCAAGGAATCGCTTCTTTACCGGCTCGCATCTCGAAACCCTCGCATGTCTGGTCATCATGTCTTCTGAATTAGACTTTAAAAGCATGTAATATTTAGATTTGTAAAATATAAATGCGGTCATCCTCCTAGAACGTGGTTTCCATAATACGCAGAGCTATCTATATTCAATTGCGACGTTTTATAATGTGGTACTCTATTAGCGCGATTTGTGTTCAAATGCCCATAAAGTTCATTCGCGCAACCTAAAAATGAATTTAGTAACTAAATATTTTAAGAGGCTTTAAGTTTTATTATAGGCTATTTTATCTTTTATGATTACACAAATATGCTAGTTTATATCAGAGCTGTGTACGACATTGGTTTTAGTAGTGTCAAAGCTTTTTCATAGATATTATTCTTTCTAAAACAATTTCTGCTTGAAAAACTAATTATTGGTAATCAATTTTTTAATCTAGTTTTTATTTCATTCTTTACCATATCTTTATGTGAAGAACAAAAATAATTTGTTTTTATCATGCCCTTATGAAAACTCTTTAATTCATTAAAAACAATTTATATCATGTCTTTTGTATTTATTGGGCTCCATATAACGCGTTGCAAATGATGTGATTCGTGCTAATTCTGGATTTTTATAGCGCGGTTCCAATGTAACGCGATTGCCGGTTTTCATAGAAATCCTAGATTTTTATTCTGAAGTTTCCATATTACGCGTTTTTTATTCTGAAGTTTCCAGCGCGTTATAGGGTTGACTTGAAAATCTTAAAAAATTATAGGATAGAATTTTGTTGAAATTATATAGTTTTTTTATTATGTGTGTTTTAATTGTATTGTCTTTATATTATTTGTGATATATTGGCAGCTGTGGTGTGGATCAATATTGTTTAGCAATTTATAATATCCTAAATTACCTCTTATATAACTTATGCCAAAATAATTCTCTGCAAATAATTTAATAGCTATATTAATTTTTTTAGGTCTTCATCATAAATCTGGATCTAACAAACTGACCAAACAAGATGAAAATTTACCCAATATATTACTACAAGATACCAACCCATGTCCTAACATGTGCCCAATCTTTACTCCTGCAAATGAAGCAGTATTACAATTAGGTCTGAGCGGTAAATGGCCAGAAAATTTGCAGGCGCTTCGAAGATTGAAAGCTGCATTTTACATTCAAATTGCCAATGGTCTTACCAAAACTTGCCAGATATCAGCAAGTGCTAATCCTTTATATTTAGATGTATTTAAAGATGGATTTGTATTCAGATTGAGAGTGGTTCATCAGAAGGAAATTGGTTTGATGAAACAACAAATTGGAATAGATGGGGTTGTAAAGTATAGGGATACTGAAGAAAGTTTGTGGATGGAAAGGGAATTAGTGATGATGCCAAAGTTGACAAGTGCTCTGCTAGGGTGAGTTTATCTTAATTGATTCTAATTATAAACTTATCAAAGGCCAGATAATTGTTTGTTTTTGCCTGAAAATATGACTAACTAATTTTATTTTTCAAGTCATTGTGATTTCTTTTAGACTATAATTGGAAAAGTTATCCTTGTGTGTGAACCAAAATTTGTCCTTTTGTTGACGTCATCTCAAAAGCGATTGAATCAATTTGAAAAATTTAAAAGCATTAAATCAATAAAGACCCATGTTGAATGAATGAATGAATAGTTTGCGAGACAAACATCCGAGACATTTCTTACACCTAATTTATATTTTTTACAACAAACTTACATTTGTAAAAGAAAATGTCTATGAAATATTTAATTTACTATTAATCTTTAAAAATTAGTTTTGTAATTATCTATGTTTGTACAATTCTATTGATTGAAATCTAATTAAACATAGATAATTGCTTTTGATGGTATTAGATTTCAACAATTATATTTACCAAGTTCACAAAAAATACAAAGCATAGTGAAATAATTTTACAGAAAGTGTACTTTATTACATCACAAAGATGTTTTCATACCTTAATAAGGAACTATGTGTTCATAATTCTCAGTGAATGATGTTGTTTAGCACTTTAATTTTATAACCTTTTCATTTTGCAGTTTACATCATCAACATTCTGCATATGGACCTGCAGTGTGCTTGGCAAAACGATGGCTATCCTCACAACTTCTGGACGACACTCATATTTCTGAGAAAATAATTGAATTATTGATGGCCGGTCTATTTTTGAATCCAGAACCATATGATGTTCCAGTCCAACCTCAAATTGCTTTTATTAGATTTTTAAATCTAATTGCATATACTGATTGGACTACTACACCTTTAATTATCAATTTTAATTCTGAAATGACAAGTATGTGAATATTTTTTTGATGTTGATGCTTTTGATTTGATATTTCAATTCAATTATTATCTTTTCAGAGGAACAACTGTTAGAAACAGAAACAAACTTTACAGTAAATCGATCAACACTACCTCCACTTTATATAGTGACTCCCTATGACACAAATAAGTCTACCTGGACAAAAATATCTCCAAGCATTCAGGTTCTTGTAAGAATGGCCCTACTAGGAAGACAGTCACTAGAAGTTGTTGAAAATATATATAATACAGAAACTAGTTTAGATTTTAAGGTATAATTTAGTAATTAATTTAGTTTAAGTTAAATCATATGATTTTAAATTCATAAATTATCTACTCTGAGTGTTGATTTATTTAAAATAAAAATATTTTGTAGGTAATGTTCACACCATCTATAGAGGGATATGATTTAATAATCAATTTAAAAGTATTGCAATTACCTAGACGATTCTATTCATTGAAAAACTACACATTTGAAAATAAAGATAATGAGGAACAACTTCAAAAGGAGCTTATGGAATACGTGAAAACAGATAAGGAGAAAATACCAATCACTAATTATGATCCAGTACAATTCTATTTGAAGGAATTAAGGGTATTTATCATAGATAAAAATGTTAAATCATATAATGAATATGTCATTATATTTTTGAGTCTTATAATTTTTGAAATGAGTTTCATTCATAGATGAATGAAAATTTTGGTACAATGCTTCAATTTTATTATGATAATAGAAGATATATTAGATTAGTGAGGTGTTGATTCAAACTTTTCTTGATTCAAATAAGTTTATCAATTTAAGGGGGTATTCTAGTGTAGAAATCCCAACAATCGTTTTTCTGTTTTTTTTTTTAATTTTAAAAGATTAATTATTCAAGAATATGTGTACGGGAGTATTTTATAAAAGTTAAATTGTTTTTGGAGATACAGCTATTTGACTATGATAACCTTCTTCTGTTTCCTTTTGCGAAATTTTAAACGCGTTTTTCTCAAAACTACCTAGTACATATGATTTTTCAATACGATGTATATGATTTTACCAATTCTATTAGGCCGATTCATTTAAAATTTTTAGGGAATCTTTTTCATAGACTTCTCTCTCACATATAGTAGCCTCATCTCCAAATTTAAATTTTTATTATTTTTGAAAAGGAAATCTTAAAGTGTTAAGAAAATGGTCTTTTTTTCAAACAGTCGCCAAATTGTCAAAAACATTTTTTGAACTTAATTCCAGTATATACAATAGTGTACATTTTGTGACCCCCCATTTCAACAACTGCTAATTTTTATATTTAATACATTTTTTCTTTGAACTTTTTTTCTGTAGTCTTATAACGTTGCTAAGTGTATTATAAAAAAAATAATCATAATAGTAAATAATGTATCGCCTTTATGATGATTTAAGAATGACTTAAAATTCATGCCTCTACACTAGAATACCCTGTTATGTTTTTTTAATATATTTTCAAATCAATTCACAAATCACTTAAAGTAAAGGACTTGACTCGAATGATTCGATGAATCTGGACCATATTGAATTGGGACATCACTAATCTATTTTTAACTTCCCGTAGGGTAAGTTATAGTAATCGCAAAAAAATCAAAGATGAAAATTTTTATATATCTTCACGATTTGAAGGTTTCTGAACATTTTGGCATACCTTAGAAAAAATGAATGTAAGTATGTGTGTGTGTGTATGTTTGGATACAATTTTTCGTTTACGATTTCGGGCGCACGAATCAACCAATTTGCATGGTTCAAAAAACATTCGATTCCTATTGATGAGAAGACGTGCTGATTAGTTTTTGGTGAAGACAGGTCCAGCCGTTTCGAAGATACGGGGCAAAACCCGATTAGAATGATTCAAAAAACATTTTACTTGTATTGACGAAATGAAGAATTGATGAAATTTTTGTTAAGACAGGTCTACCGGTTTCGGAGATACAGAGAAGAAAAAGAGATATTTGGCGGTCAAAAATGCTCAATGAACATATGCACAACAAATTATCAGATATTTGATAAAATTTTTTAAAATGAGTACTAATTTTATTATAATTTTATTGGTTACCGATTTTGTTAATTTTTCAAGTTTGCTTTTACAGTTGAAGCAAATTTCAAAATTTTCAGAAAAAAAAAAAATTTCAAAATGTTCAAAAATATAAAAAGTTTTATACTTCAAATATGAATTTTAAATTTACAATTCAGTTTCAAAATGTATATATTTCAAATGCCTTATTCTAATCATAAGAAATATATCCTCACATGGATTTATTCTTCATCTCTTGCTGATGTAAACTTTCTCAAGTGTTTCAAGTGTTGAACGATAAAATATGTAGTCATTATAATCATGTTTAAATCAATTGTTTGTAATCATTGATCAAATTTATTGATTATTGATTTTTTTTCCCTTGAATATTCAATTCTGGTACGGGAAGTTCCAGCAATTTGCTTTAAGGCACGATGCCATGCACCACTAGTATTTTGATTATATCATTCACAATATCAGCAAAAAAAGATTTTGAAAAAAAAATCTGAGTCCGAAATTGGAAAGTGTGTGTGAGTGAGTCATTTTTAAAATTTTGTAGACGGTTTTTACAAAACTAGCTACACCAATTTCTAACCATTTGATGTAACTCGGTAAGGATTCAAGGTTGATTAGTTTTGCGCGAAGATTGGCTAAACCGTTTCTTTATAATTAGCAGAAAAGTTCATAATTTTTCATCTAGGTTTTAGCCAAAAATCTTGACACGATTTTAAAAATTCAAAAACGAGATATTGAGCTGAATAGTTTTTGGTAAAGATTTGCCGGACCGTAATTAAATTATTTAATTTAATTTTTTTTGATACTTATAATGAAACTTAATACTGTTCTCATAGTCTAAACAAACATTTTACAATATTGTGGTCTTAGAAAAATAGTTAAAAATGTAAAATTAATTAAAGCTTTGAATAATGGGTCGCGTTCTTAGGACATACAAACGCGTGTTTGTGCACTACTGTTACTTATAATCTGTTTTGAAGATATTAATTGATATCGCATTGAATGTTTTTAGTGAACTTATATTAATCAAGTCGAATATTTATAAGTATTGGGAAATCTATGCAACTTCTTTTAAGGCAAAATACCATTTACAGTTGGTTAATTGTTGTTATAGCTCTTTTCATATTTATTCACCATCCTCAGATTATTAAAACAACTTGTATATTTTTTACTTTTTATTTGGTCACGCAATTCATTTAGAATTAAACAAATTATTCCAGAAATATAAAAATAAATAATTCATCCAGAAACAGTTGATTATAAATATATCTCAAAAAGTTGCGTCAAAAAATATATTAAAAAGGTAATTACAAAAATATATTCTCTGGATTGCCAAAATGGCAAAATTTGCACCACAATATATAAATAAAAATCGAGAACCTCAGGGACGCAACGTTGGCAGACAATAATAAAAAAATATACCGATTGTTTTAAAAAAGATTTTAAAAAATGTTACTAAAAATTTAGATTCTTTGAAAAATACACCTGGAAGCAAAAAATGGTTTATGGGTTTAATTCGAACTTGGCTAGTTTTTTTTTTCAACGAAGTGGACTTTTCACGATATTACTTAAGTTTTTTTTTTCAAGAAGGCGGGTTGTTTGTTGTTGTTGGAGTTACTTTTCTTTGCAATCAGATTTCTTGGCTTTATCGCATGCCAATTGGGCCATAAGTTGGACGATCGTTCTTGTTGGTCTACCAGTCATTCGACCTATGCGGAGGTAGGGTAGATTTGGAGAAGTTATCGGGAAGGCAACACCTGGGAAAACATTTTCTTGTTGAATATAGTAGAACTTTTGTTTATAAATCGAACAATAGACTGATAAGATATACCCCAAAGAACAAATATATAAAAAATTTATATGAAAGCAAATAAAATTTTGTAAGAAATTATAATATATCAGAAGTACCGAAATCAACCCTGTATGCTACTAAGTGACAAATATTTTAAATAATTTGAAGAAGTTATATTTAAACTAATATCTGTCACATTTCATTCTGCTCGTTTTGAGTTTGAATTCAAAAGATTTTGGCTCAACAAGATCATTGGACAAATTTACTAACCTGTTACATCCAAGTGCAACCAGCACACATCTTTTACGAATTCTCGAAGGAATGCAGCTCCTGTACAGCTGTCACCATGGAATCTTGTATGATTTGTGATATCTACGGAGCTTTGATGAACAATTTCCTTGGTGTAGAACTTCCATAAAGGCATTCTCCACACTCTGTCACCTAATGAAAATTATTCAATAATTAATACGCATGTTAAATAATGACACTGTTAAAGGTTGCTCGCCCTTGTTAGAATTACTGCTTTACGAAGGATATGGTTAAAATTGATTGCTATTTACAAATAAAGCACCGATTAGAGTTGGTGAAGAGAAGAACTGCTTAGAGTTCTTACCTGTATAAGCTCCAGCTTTCTTAATATGCGTCCACATAGCCTTTGAATTGGCCCAACAACCGCTCGCTCCTGCACCAAATACATGCCGCACACTGTCACTCAAACACGTAACATCCACCATCAAGGACGGCTTGTGGTGTTTCAGTGCGTATAGCATAACATCAGCCAGCATGACACGACACTCCTTGTCGCAATCCTGAACCATGATGTGGACGCCATTCTGAGCCTGGACGACATCACCTGGCTTCATAGCCAGACCACTGGGCAAATGCTCACAGAGAGGAATTATACCTGTTAAATTGTGAATTATCTTATTATCGTTCTTTTGTGGAACCCGTAAGGATCAGTTGGTCAAAATCTATCGCGTATGATGTGAATTTTATAATAAAACATAATTTGAGAATGGTAAAAAATTGATTTTTTTTTTTAATTTGCTGATAAAGTGTTGTGTGACAATTCTTAGTTCAAAACTCGAAAAATCCTATCTGGCATCAAGCAGCTGTAATGCTGGACTTTATAAACATTTACAATTGAAAGTAGTTTGGATTGGAACTTTGGAATGTGGTGGCGAATTAGTGGAAGACTGAAAAATAATGTAATGGACGCTTTTAGAATTCTTCATATTTGCAATACTATTTTGCTAATTAACCTTGAATGTTAAGAGGTATGCTCATCGCAGCTGCAGCTCTCATGGCAGCTACGACGACTGCTGCTCCGGCCATTGCTCCACGGTATTTAGACATATTGTGACATTTCTTCAAATGAATACCACCAGAGTCGAATGTTACTCCGGAACCAACCTTCAAGTTGATTTTGTGATTATATACGAATACACAGAAATTACTTAATCATTTCATTTTTATTTGACGCACCAACAATATCGGTTTATCACTTCCACCACCGCAATAGCTGAGCTCTAACACAACAGGAGGTTCACAGGAACCTTTGGCCACCATCAGCAGTGTGTTCAGATCCTGATCTTCGATCCAATCCTTGTCGTGCACCTCCACGTTCACACCGCATGGACATAAGGCGTCAACTGCAGCCTAACGAACATAACGAATTATTAAGTTGATCTGCTGGTCTTTATTTTGTAAAAAACTTTTGCATGGAATTTATTTCTACCATCTAGTGCTTTTGGTTTTTGTGATAACGGGAATAAATAAAGCAACTTTATGATGAAAGAGCAACTGTCTTAGTCGATCACACTGCATTTTTAGATTAGGCCAAAAACTTTAAATAACGTGCTCTTATTACACAATTTTAGAATTCTCGCAAGTTTACTTTAAAAAATCATTAAACTACTGCGATCATGAACAATATCCACATTTCTCAAGATTTAATATTACAGATTTTGGCTTATATTTAGGAAATTATAGTGCAACCAACAAAAAATAATTATTAATTTATTATTTACCTGTGCAAATGAGGTTGGATTGAGTTGATTGGCTGGCATGTCGCACAATTTTCTTGCTAAATTCTGTGCCTCTGCCTTAAATACTCCTCTTGTCCATCCACACGTATCTTGAGAATCGTACAACTCCAAATTTGGAGTTGGTCGCCAGTTATTTTTGTGCATGTTTTCCTATTTTATAAAAAGTTTGTTTTTATAATTTGTTGATAATTTTTCGTATGGACATTTTACGTAAACTGAGATCAAATGGGTTTTTATGCACAAATGACACAAATGACATTTTGTTCCTGTGGTTCTATTCGAAATATTGTCTACTAACTTGGAACCTCCAGCAGGCTAATACAGCGCCTTCAGCTGCTGCTTCCGCATAGTTGTCCATATCTTCGATAAAAATCGTCTGTATTCCTTCTTTGCGCAATCGCACGGCCCCGGCTGCTGCAGCTATACGCACCTTGGCAGAAAAAAATATTTTGAGAAATTATTTCAAAATTTAGGAAATATTTAAATCGTTATGATTACTTGTTCTCGGCCGACGTCCAAGTTCTCAATTTCATTATAGCCCATATTTTCACGACCGATTCCAGCAAGACAAACGCCCCAGAATTCGGGGTCAACGTTATTTATGGCCATGGTCATGCCTGATAGAATGGGCGACGCTTCTTTCATCATTTCTGAAGCAAAAAAAAACTATTTAATTTGCGGTTTTATTGTATTTTTATTGATTTTTAAATTTAACTTTAATTAATAATGTACAGTACTAAATACCAATTATGTTCTAGTAATTAAATTAATCGTAAACATGTTTAAAATTGCAGACTTGCAAAATTACTTCGTTCCAGCACCGTGGTTTTGTAAAGTTTTTTGAATATTAGACATGCATTTACTATTTATTAATTTTCAATTTAGTTTTTGTTTTTACCAATCCATTCATGAAATGGGTTAGAACCTGTTTCATTGAACGATTCCCATAGTGGAGATGTTGCAACTTTTTCGGGGCGATTTTTATCCACAAACTTTTAGAGCTTAGAAAGCTGCTTAAAAATTATTGTAAGGCCCTTAGCTGGAGTTAAGCTCTTTATCATAAATATCATGTGTTACACTAGTACATCCTCACCATCCTTATACTATTCCATAATTTCACGCTTTAATTTAAGCGGCATGATACTTTTATGGTATTCAAGAGACATGGCCCATAGTCATAAAAGTAAGTATTTTGTAAATGTACTCAAAGCAAATAACGCGAACTAACATATATAATATGTTGATATTAGTTCATATATTCGCGTAGGTAAATTATTACTACCTAATTAATATAAATAAATAATTGAAATGACTAAATATAAAACAAATTACCTTCATAATCATAAAATAATCAATACATTTCTACGGTAGAAAAATCATTTTTTCAACTGACTTTTTTTATTTTGCCCAGTTTCTAAAAACCCTTCTCGCTTAAAGCAGTTTCTCGAAACAACAAATCGCTTCTTTCGCGGCTCGTATGTCGGGTCGCTCGTAATTCGGTATACTACTACTGTACCTTTACAATTGGGAAGGCTGAATGGCTTTGAAGTAAAGAGTAAGCTTTTTGTGAAGATTTTTTAAATTACTAATATTTTTGACTGATTTGATCATATTACTAATATATCTGATTGTGACATTTTTTCTTTCTAATCTTTATTTATATTACCAAAGCGACTAGGCGCCTTAAACGTACCAAAAGTACATCTATGAAAGGCGTAAAAGATTAGTTTTTGGATGAAGCGTTTGATTACATTATTTACATTACATTATAACTTTACAACCATATTATTACCTTCGATTTTCCCGCCACATCTTTCATTAAATTTGCAACCGGCCTTAGTCAAAGTCGGCTTTCCATTACAATCGGTGTAGACGCCTAAAACGACTCCCTTCCTCCCTTGGTCGCACTTGTCCGAATAGTTCCGTTTCAATTTAAAAACAGCGATCGAATTTTTGTGCTGTCCCACGAGACGCCTTCCGCCTCGAACCCACATTTTTTTCTTTTGAATTTATAGCCTGGTTCCTGATACCTGATTATAACAACAATTCGCTCGTCCTCGGAGATAAAATACGGCCGGATGGAAAATTTTGTGAGGTCAAACTTTGGATTTTGCGTCCTGGAAATTATTTTTCAAAGTTTGGGTTGTTTAGATTTTGTTTTTCGGTTTTATTAAAAAAGTAAACTGTCAATTTTACAAAACTGAACATCAACTGGGCAGGCATTGAGCGTCATCGTTTGGAAATTTATTTTAGATTGAAATTTTGACGCGGAATTGGAGTTGGAATTGGAGTTAATACTTTATAAAGTAATGTTAGGTACATAATTAATTAAACATGGAAAAACACGGTGAAGTTTCATGTTTTTACGTTATTTCTAAACATTTAGCAATGACGATCGAATTTAAAAAAATACGGTGAGGTTAAATGATATCGTCACTTAATTATGTACCAATGTACCATAGTTACTAAATTGTAATTTTGATACTAATTCGCTACTACAAGTGAGCCTTAAGAATATTATAATACTTTATTTTGACGCTGAATTCGAAGAAATTGCAGATATATGTTTTTCGATATTTCAAAAGATGATTGAACAGATACAGAGCAAAGTGTGCAGAAAATAGAAATCGAGATTTTGAGAGAACGCAGTATCCGATTTGAATGATCTAAAAAATATTCAATTCGTATTGATGGGGAGAAGTGGTGATTAGTTTTTGGCAAAGGCTCCTGATTCGCCGCATCTTATTTTAAAGGCGCTTGAAAATCGAAATCTGATTTATAAAAGTAAAACGTAATTTTTTTTTGTATAAATGTTGCTTTTATTTATTTTAGTCATTTAATTGTTTTACTTAAAATTTACTTTTAAGTAACTTTACTTGATATTTTTAAAGTAAACTCTGCACATCTTTTATATAATTATTCCATGTTTTCATTCCGTATATTATATGGAAATATTTAATATTACTTAATTTTTGATAAATGTTAATTATTATTAATTGTATTATTTAATTAATTAATGATAATTCAATTTTCTTTTTAGGAAAGTTATGATGAATTTGCCTTATTTTTCCACGATACCTATGGTGGCGATTTTATAGCTGTTTTATGGAAACCACAAGCTTTTGAGAAAAAAGAGTTTAAGGTAAGTTTGATTATAATTAGAAAAATTAATACATAAATATTGAAAAATTATTTATTTATTTGAACTACGCTTATATTCTACAATATTTATATTGTGTAATTGCGATTTACAAAATCTCATCTCAAAAGTGTACCAATAAGGTATAACAATATTTAATATCATCTTGAAATTTTGGAATACATTTTTTTCCAAAACTACTTGTCACTTCGATTGTCTTTTTGGCAAAACAGTCTTTCAGCCATTCAATAGAAAAACATTCATCAAACATTAGTTTATTAACGTCTTGTAATTGTCTTTGCCCAAACTCGAAAATGAACATTTTTGCACATCTTTACGTTTCGAAGATTTCTGAACATTTTGGCATACCTTAGAAAGAATGGATCTGTGTATGTGTGTGTGTATGTATGTATGGATACGGATCAATCGAATTGAATAATTCAAAAAACATTCGATTCCTACTGATGGGGAGACGTGCTGATTAGTTTTTGGCGAGGTCGTGGTCCAGTCATTTCGGAGATGCGGAGCGAAATGTGTAAAAATGATAGTTTTTGAGAGAAAAACTATAAAAAAAAAACATTTTGCTTGTGAAGATGTGATTGGTTTTTGGGAAAAACATGCTTTTTTATTTCAAATTACTTTCTGCGTACACCCTGATGTCAAGATGTAGTGATGTCCATTTTTGCTTGAACATTTAGATTAAAAAAGTGTGTAATGGTGAAAATGCTCTCCAACAATGGTGCGCTAAAAAATTGAATGGACTGGGAAAAGTATATAAAAATTTGTGTGGGAAAAATTATTATGATAAAATTTCAATCGTATAATAGTTTAGATGGATAAATGCTCTCCTCTAGCCAGACCAATTTAAAATTTGTGCTGTTTCTTTTCAGGTATCCCATCTTAATGGCAGAAAAGTCGTAACAGTTGACGGGAAACCGATGCTAGTGTCTAATCTAGGCGCAATTATCGAAGATTTCTACATATTGGGCCAAGGATTAGTGAAGAGTATCGAGAACCTAACAAATAAAGATGCTGAATAAATAGTTGTATTAGAGATTATATTTATTTTTTATTAAATTCAGCAACCAGATGACATTTTGTTAATTGTTGAATCGAGAGTAGACGATCATCTATACTGATAGATTTAACCCTCTAACCCGAGTTTTTGATAGAGCCAGTAAAAAAAGTCAGAACAATTTTTTCTAGACTAATTTGACCATAACAAACACTTCTGCATCATTAGATTTTCATTTTGACTTGCCGTTTAGCTACCAGGTATAAAAAGGTGAAGATTACTTCAAAGTAATCTTGACGGGTTCAGTGAAAAATTTGATACAGGTAGATATTTTTATTCTGTATGGTATTTATTGAAAAAAGTGAATAAAAGAACAATGGAATGTAGTAGAAATTAATTATTTTTTGTTTTGATATTCTACGAAACAATTTTTGCCCTTAATGCAACATAAAGCTATATTACATTTGGAGCAAATGCACATAGTTAGCGCTTTTGTTTTGTTTTGGGCAAAGAGTTTGCACGTAACACGTTTTTCTGTCCATTGTGGCCAATGATCCATACAGTCAAAACGAGTGTCGTCCACTGGATGCAACGCACGTCTTCCAACAGGAAAAGAACCTAGAATCACCTCTGGAGTTGATGGCCGCTTGAAGCGAGTCTGGATGATGGACGACCAGCTTGGCGCTTGAAGTTGTAGTTCACAAGGCCAGCAGCAATATTTTTACGAAATTGTGGCAATGTCAACAATTTTTCGCTGGGGTCATTCTCATCAGGCAAATCGTGAACTTTCTCTCGGTGTATTCGGCGATAGAGTATGTATGCGTTGGTGGCAGCCATGTCAATAAAATGGTACAACAAACGAGTTGCTGCATCACGAGTTTTTGCGCGAATATGATAGCGGCCCATCAAGCCATCCATCAAGTCCACGCCGCCCATATGTTTGTTATATTCGCTCCTCAGAATATCCTCTTGGTTTATCTTTGATGGCTGTTTCCAAACTCAGCTTACAACCAGGCACTCTGTTCACTCATATTGTACCAAGACTGAAAATTCCACGAGCGCGCAAATACACCAACAAAGGCAAACTTGTATGAAAGTTGTCGAAGTATACAATGTGATTTGCCATATCCGGGATGGTTTGAGACAATCGCATGACAACATTCGCCGAAGCACCAAGATTTGGATGGCCATCTACGAGTTTGTTGTCTCCAGCGCCATTGTAAACTTCGAACCGATAAGCAAATCCAGATGAGTCACATAGAACGAATAATTTCATGCCCCATTTGTGTGGCTTATTGGGCATATACTGCCGCAAATGGTGCACCATCTTATTGCATTAAAAAAAAAATCGACCCCAACACGTTTTTCATGTAACAAAAGAGATAAACAAGAAAAGGTGCAATAAACGGTAAAAACGCGTTGGGAAAAAAAAACACTGAATCCGGCAAGAATACTTTGAAGTAACCTCTGTTTTTCCCTTCAAAATACCGAAAAAAAATTTTTTTTCACAATAAAATATATAATAATTGAAAGGGGGATTACTTACCAACAAAATAAAAAAATTCCGATGTCGAAATAATGATTGGTTCAAGAAATATTTGGCACAAAAAACACAATTTTTTTTTTCACTAAATTTGATGCTTCCTTCTCGAAAGCTCGCACTATTATGACTATAGAAGCCAAACTATACTTCAAATGATGTTGGTGTCTGAAGAAGAAATGTCAAATAAAGTACGAGGGACAAGTTCATGCTTATTCGCATGTGATTATGTTTCACACGGTTATAAATTAAAGCAAAACATGAAGATTACTTCAAAGTAATCTTCCGGGTTAGAGGGTTAAGTGAATACTTTTGTATAAAAATTGTTTAATATGAAAGATATATTTTAAAAACTATGATTTACTCTGTTCGATATAATTTTGCAGATTATTTTATGTTCTTAACTGTATATCCTTACTTTACGTAGGGTAAGTTATAGTTATAATCGCAAAAAAAACGAATATGATAATTTTTGCATATCTTTACGTTTCAAGACCTAATGAGCATTTTGGCATACCTTGGAAAAAATGTATGTATGTATTATGTGCGTGCATGGGATGTATGTAGTATGTATGTATGTTCGGATACACATTTTCGTCCACCATTTCGAGAGCACATATCAACCCATTTTGATGATACAAAATGCATTAGATTCCTATTGATTTGTAGATGTGCTGATTAGTTTTTGGCAAAGATAGGATCGTTTTGAAGATGCAAGGCAAAAAGTGAGAAAACAAAATGGAAATTTAGATTTTGAAAGAACTGAGCGTCCGATTTGCTGATTCAAAAAACATTTCACTTTAGTGAAAAATTGATTAAAATTCTGGGAAGCGGCTATGGAGATAAAAAAAAATAAAATGAAGATGAAGAAATGCCATTTGGTGGTCAAAAATTTTCATTACATATTTTATAGCGATTTTAATATGTAACAATTTTGTTTAAAGATTTAATGTTTACCTGTCAGAGACTGCGACGCGGCACATACGCGCTTCGATAAATTGTCTCTAAAACAGCTACGCAGAGCTGTTTGAAATCGCTTTGAAAATATTCAAAATTTTCGAAAAATGTTAAAAAAATATACGGTGCGGGAAGTTGCAAAAGCACAATACCATTTATTACTAGTATCAAATATTAAAGGTTGTTGGCCCATTTCAAAATTGGAATTTAATTTTGCTAAAAATGAAAACAGCTCAATATTTTTCAATGGTTAAACATTTATTTAATAGGTTGATTCATGACATTTATTTACACATTTTTTACATTACTTTTTCGATTGTTGGCATAACATTTATCTTTTACG